CGGGACGCCCCCGAACCCCCCCGCCCGTTCCAGTGGTAACGAACCTCGTGTCGTTGCGGACGTCAACGAGCGGCAGTCAACTTTCGTAACGAATCGGGGGGGCTGCCGCCCCCCTGACTTTGGGGACCCATGGTCGTTCCCAGAGCTCGACGACGCATGCATATGCATTCATTCAACTGCGCAGCGGACAATCCCACCTTCGACGACGTAAGATTTTTGGTCTTTGAGCAAGTCGTCGGAGTTAAATGTCGTCGAACCCACCACCGTTTCTCCAATAGCGTATGCAGCTTTGACGGCAGTAGACTGGCCAGCTAGCTAGGCAGCTAGGCTAGGTTCACATGTGCATTGCTTTCTGCTTTCGTGCAGCTTTGAGACCTTCGAAGGAATCTTCCTGAGAAGGGCCCACCACTGCTTCTACAATCTACTTGCTGAGGTTGTACTAATAAATCTGCCCAGAAGGAAGCCGTCTTTGCAACACTTGAGATTCATTCACATCATCTGCTCTCAAAGTGCTCAACAAGTTCAATCAGCATTTAGCGATTGACCCCCAGCCCTCTTCCATCTGCATTTCAGCACTTTGTTGCTCCGCTTCGCCACCTGTAATCAGCAGTCACCATGCCGAAGGCCACATGGAACGGCGTTGTGGTCGCCGAGTCCGACAAGTTTGAGACGGTGGAGAACAACGTGTATTTCCCCAAGAGCTCGATCAAGTCAGAGTACTTCAAGAAGACCGACACCACGTCGGTCTGCCCGTGGAAGGGCACCGCCAGCTACTACACGCTGAGCGTTGATGGGAAGGAGAACAAGGATGCCGTCTGGTGAGTACCGAGGAATGCTGTGATTGGTTTGGATGTATGCTTGGTGGGCGTGTGAGGAAAGCTGCTGTTCGGAGCGTGTGACCTTGCAGACGGACTGGCTTTGAGGGAGTGCTGTCGGTCTTTCAATCATCACAGCATTGCAAATGGTGCACAGCATTGCATATGGACGGTTTCGATAGATCCTGATGGTAGACTTGTTTGCTCAAGAATTATTCTATGAGTGGCTCAGTCACCTCGGTGATTGGAGCCATTTTTTTGAGTGTGGTCAAGAGGTCTAGTCAACAGTTGCTTCAAGTGCTCAAAAAAATTTAATGCCACGATCAGGATCATTGATATTCCAAGAATTGTTCCTGGGTGGGTCTCTTTCCATTCAATCTCTGGAGGCAGTTTGGTATGAGATGAAGGTGGCGGGCTACTTTATGTCCATTCGCTTGTATCATCTTTGCCTTCTTACAAAGATGGACAAGACCTGCGCTTTCCCGTATCAATTATTCATGGTCTTAATTCCAGTTGTTATTCAATGAACTATCTTTTTAAGAGCGGCATAGGGTCAGACCTTTCCAATTCTATGCGGAAGGACGATCACTGTATGCGCTGTACGGTAGTCTAACAGCTAGTTCTAATGCAGATGAAATAACCGATTGCTGCATGTTCCCTGTAGACTGCTTTGCGGCGCTATATTTAGAGCTTTAGGTGGCCGCTTTTATGCTGGCTAAAGGGCTGATGGGCTTTCTTTACAAGCAATGAATTCTTCCACCGTGTAGGACAATCTGATTGTCAAGAGTCGTTATGTCCAAGGCCGTGCAATCTGTCTGCAAAGCTTTGTGAATCATGTGGTGCTCCTCTTATCTGGAGGCTGCAAGCCCGACGTGATCTGGCTGTGTCGTTCGTTCACGTGCTTCAACCGGGTCTCCTTTCAGCTTGGTCTATATATCAAAACCCAGAGCGCCCAGATCAAAGATGTCACAGGTGAAAGCGGAGGGGACCATAAAGGATAGTGCAAGTCTGGATACAGATCAAGAGTTTCTTCTTGTCCTGACTTTGTTTTGTCCTGAGAGGAACGGTCTGGCTTTCTATCGTCATACCCTGATGTAAGAACTTGCCATTGAATGCAGGACGTATGAGAACCCGAAGGCCGCTGCCGCCAACATCAAGGACCACGTTGCCTTCTGGAAGGGTGTGGACGTTTCCAAGTAAAGATGAATACCTTGAAGGATATCATGGGCGGTCCCCAGTTTTGGCTTTGATTAAGTGTGTTCCAAAACGTTCGGAACATTTCAATGGGGCTGCAATTTAGGCTTCGCCAACCAGGACGCTGGACGGCGATCTTTTTCTGTTGGACACGTGATTTAGGCATGCCCAGCCTTGTAAACTGCGTCAGAGAAAAGAAGACGGTTCTATGTTGGGATACTTTGCACTAACCACTTTGTAAATTCTGATGATACCAGAGTTGCACGTTATATCTGGATGCACTGAAGAACTCAAGATCTCTTCAAGAAAGATCAAGTGATCCGCTCTCTCCACACGCTAGGCTCGACGCCCATCAGATTCTATCGCAACTGACGATGATACCCATGTTTGGTTGCAATGCAAACGGTACAGCAGATTCAATCTGCAATAGATTACGTAACAGCTCAATGATCAAAACGTTACACGCCAGCCTGAGCTCGAACCTGCACTCATGACCGCCTGGTGCTTTGCATGTGGATCTGATATACCATCATGTGGCATGGCATGGCTGGCACGAGCCTACTAGTTTGGTTGTCGGAATATTGTATGCGATTACATGGATGCAGCTAGGCCCCGGGTTTCATAGCAAGATCAGTACATAATTCACGGCATTCACTATAGTCTGCACATATGTGGGCGTGTGTGTGACTTCAAGCAATATTCGGTCCGATCAAGTCAAACCGGTCTATGTATACGTAATCCACATGGAATCTGGCCGCACGTACTAAAAGTCCCGGCCAAATGAACTTCGTGAGCGTGCTTGTCATACAAGGAGCCACAGCTAGCAAGACTCAACAAAAGTTCTTCATGTGTACTGAAGCAAAGCCATCTCGTTATACGCGCACTGTCGGGTCACCTTAAATGCACGCCGTCACCTCGGACCGGTGTGTAAGACGGGCCAGACTGCAGCACTGGTCAAGTTGATGATTGGACAGGCGACCATAGCGCCGACCAAATAGTGGCTTTCACCTTGTTGATACCAATGATCGTGCTAAAGGCAAGCAACAACGCAGTGATAGAGTAGACCGCGCTTATTCGGGTTGTGTGCAAGTGTGACACTGCTCCTGAACAAGACCTGATAAGAATCGCGTCCTGATTCCCGCATCTACTTCTCATTCTACAAGCTGGAGCCCCGAAAAGAAGGTCTCCTGGGCAGCAACTTTGAAGGAGTGCCAACTGCAGAGTAACGAACAGAGCTCAGGATGGAATCGTCACCTTTCATTCAACCACCAAAAAGTTGCGCCTCTTTCTTTGTGATGAAAGGAAACTGCGTACATGCCATTAGGAGCCTCAAGAAGGCAAAAGCGGTCTAAGATGTCGCATCAGGGGCCTCAAGAAGGCAAAAGCGGTCTGAGATGTCGGCTTGTGTCGAGAAGATTGGCCTGAAAGACGTTCGTCCGTCAAGACTAAGCCATAACCGAAAAAACGCGAACGCTTTAGACCTCACGCTAGCCTTCACCCTTGCTTGTAAATCGTCGGTGCCGTCGGGCCAAGCAGGATGTTTCACCGTTCCAAATGTCGGAACTTACAATTAGAAACCAAATAAAGAAGGCGTCGGCTGTCTGATCCCCTGCCAGCGACTTGAAAGCAGGCTTTCCACGCAATAGGTCGCTTGTTGTTGACCATTTATGACAAACCGCGATTGACTTACATTCGACGTCCTTAAATACCGCAGACCCTGCGTGCCGGCCCTTTCTTTCAACAAGAAACAGACCCGCTCGAGCTCTCACCTCATGTCGTTGAAAGCGGAAGCGTTGGGGAAGCCGAGGTCGTGTATCCGCAACTCCTCCAACACCGAAGCAACGTGCCGAATGTGCCGCATATGCGCTTTCATCTCAGCGGAATACAATCCAAGCCTGCGAGGAGCGACTTAGGGAACTAAGACTTCCTGATTCTTCCTCTTGTTTAAATAACTCTCAAAGCGTAATTTCATGCTGCTCTTGTCAATACCGATAGATAGGGCACTCTTCTTAGCTCTATATCAAGTAAGGAGCGACGTAGGGCTAGAACTTCCGAAGGATGCTTTAATGGTCTGGGAAGGCTCTTGTAAGTATAAAAGGCACTCTTTTCCGCAAACACGAATCAAGCCTGCGAGAGAAGTTGTAACATTGAGATTCTAGAGCAGTTTCACTCAAACGACCTTGAAGAGCGTGCTTTATTCGCTTGGGCTCAGCAGCTATTCAGAAGACTAACCATCGCCTCTTCCCACGGCTTGGTCCATTGGATTCGCAACAAGCTCAGTTGCTTCCATTCTAAGCAGTCGCGAAGTGAGCACTCCTAACTTTGCTGGAAAACCTTTACTCGTGTTTCAGCTGAGGAAACGAGATTCTCAGACACACCACCTAAATCTCTTGAAGAGAACTCAAAGAACAGTCCGGCCAAGAGCGAGCAGAGGACGAGGCATCTCCAACCGTGCACCCACCTGTCATAGTAATTCCCAAAGCTGTTCCCCAGAATGGCAACCCGCCCCAAACGCTCCGCATCCCAATTCGCCGACAGCACGTTATCGTACATCCACTCCTCGCAGTGGGGCATATAGAACAGCGTGGGGCGGGCGGCGCTCCGTTTGCCCTCCTCATTCACGTTGATGACGTCACAACCAAGCCGCTCGAGCGCCTGACGGTCGACCTCTGAGAAAGCGGGGTCGTAGACGAGGAGACGATCGGCACTCTGCAGTGATGAAGTTGCCATGAACGAGAGGATTCAAGGAGAAACGGCTTTTGGGGCCTGACAGTAAGAAAGTCAGCTGTGCCACTCCAATAGCTGTACAAACCGGTTTGGGGACAAATTTATAGTCGGTATTCTGTACGGAAAGCAAGGACGATGGATCTGAAACAGCGCAGCATTTTTTCAACGCTATCTTGTATGCTCCAGACTTTTCGACAAGGTACATGACTGAGTGGAGCAGAGGTGAACGCATTGGTATTGACAGTTGGGATGTCAGATGGAGAATCAATTTTGTTGACCATACGAAGCAGAGTGCTCTCCGATTAGAGGATGAAACGCAACAGCATGAAGTATCTTGAATTCTTGGAATCTGACGAAAGGTAGAGCTAGCACCTCCTTAGAAGACTCTGACAGAGAGGTTCGTATGGCAAAAGCCAATCAAAGCCATGAGAAAGGACTGACTCTCGATGGAGCCTAAGCTCATCTCCTATAAATGCACCATAGGGAATGGAGGTCTGGTCCGACTCGAACAACTCACCGGCACAAGTTGCTTCAACAGCAGCGCAAACGCCAGCTGACACCTGGACGTGTCGCTTCCTGAAATGCTCCCAACACCGTAGACCACAATATCGAGATGCTTGATGCACTCCGACTCCTTTGTTGACCCCGTGCTGCCTGCTGTCTCATGTTTGAAACACAAATCTGCCGGTCCAGGGTTTGCAGGACTTTGACCATCAGACCCCGTCCGCTCGTCGCCAGGTAAAGCGCCACCGTTTGATCTTTCAATTCCTGCTTCGTTTTCATGGTTTACAGCCACAACGTTCTCAAAGGGTTTGCTGGAGGCTGCTTCTATACCCGACGTTTGTAGTCGGTCGGGGTTCTGAGCGGGTATATTCGGGGAGGGCTGTTTCGATTCTGTTGGAGAGGGAGGGGGGCTGGGGGTCTCCTCCAAGACAACGGAGAGATTCTTGCTTTTCCAGGCTTCCAAAAAGCGCTGGTAAAACTCCGAGGTCTCAACGGCCAGCCTGCAAATGACAAGAGACACTGTTTGGTGCCATTTAAAGCCTAGGAGACTTGGAGCCTAGGACTTTTTCAAAGAGCTCGTAGAGATGAATGTTCGAGCAGTGAGTTCTGATTTGGATAACCAATTTGGAAGTGAACAAAGAGTGAAATCGGCATCGGAGCAAAGCTTTCAACTTAACAACTGGCTTGAATGAACACTGTCAGATAATTGTTTGGATACAGATGCAAGGAGGGCACATAAAAGGAATTATCTCATGGTGTTAATTACCATCAAAAGACAGCGCTATTAGGCAGAAGCGATCAAAGCTGCTTTTCTTCACCATCAACATCCGCTTATCAGATTTTAACCTAACAAGAGCGCTTACCTTGCACCCTCCACTTTTTCCACCAGCCTTGAAATGTCGTCCTTTGCCCCAACAGAGTTCTGACGGACTTTCTTCCCACTCCCCTTTCTGCTCAACTTAGTTCCTTGACCATAGAAATCTGTCAGACCTCCCCAACCATTCAACACCGGCATTGCTTCTCGTTGCAGCTGCACCGTCACCTTCTGAGGGACAGGTCGTCTCCCATCCTTCTCTGCACCTTTGCTTCGGACTCTTCCAACAACCGTCCAGCCGTCCTCCTCAGGAGCCTGCGGCGCCATCCTGACAGTGAGAATGCGCCTGGAGGAGAAGAAAGCACAGGTCCGACAACGCTCAAAATTCCATCATCGTATCATGCCTTCCGTTTTTGGCGCGTCAACGACAACGATTCCCGAACACCTCAACCATTACCGCGTGTCTGCAGAGTTGGTTCCATGATCCCAGAGCTTCAAACTAAGACCAACAGCCGGGTTCTGAACAACTGCAGTCATGATGGCAGTGTCACGTGGCGTCTGCGGCGCCACGTTGGAGTCGTAGGCACCAATTGAAATCTGCCACTTGCACATCAGTCCTGTAAATAGCCATTGAGCAGGCGGCTGCAGAAGCAGCGTGCGGCGCAGCTAGGACGCTAGTTCTCTCAGCTAAGTACGGTAGGTCCGTGCTGCTGTTCCTGGATCCGTGCTGCTGTCTGAAAAGAGCACGGCCTTTCGCACGTTGGCGTGTTTGCAGGCGGTTGCCCTGGTATGCGCCTTAAGGTATAAGCAATGCTAAGATCTCCAGGACGATATGATGATGGAATGCTGTGCACGTGGTTGGTCTTCAAAGATACTATGTGGAGGGTTGTTATGCACTTAAGAAATTGCATCTGCTGCGTGGTGAGCTACTAGAGAGATATAGCAAGGTCCCATACCAGCATTGTATTAGATGATATCTGAAGCAGTACGGAGAGTAATAAGGGGTACACTGAAGCTCTGTTTATATCAGCTTAGATCAGCATGGCCTTTCTTCAATCGTGGCACCGTCAGCCAGGGGGTGAGAGCTACCCGCGCAGGGTGCTTCTTGTGACACTTGCAATGATTTACTCCATCAGTGCCTCAGGTAAGTTTAGTAGCTACTCTGATGCTGGCCCTTTCCCTCTCTTGTCGTACGCAATGATGTCCATTGCAAAAGCAAGCTTTCAAGCATAATTTGATGGAGAGAAAATGCCACAATTGAGTCCTGTAGAATGCTGGCAATCAATGCAATACATGCTAAGAAGGTTGGCAATCAATGGGATGCATGCTCAGAAGGTTCTGACATCCTCTTCTCCAGGCACACCTCCCTCAGCTAACCCCAAAACCTGCCAGTTCAAAACCTTGCTGCTTCTTCTCCACTTCAGGCATTGTCCATGAATATTCTGGTCACTAGATTGTGCTGCTTTTTGCAACAAGCCGTTCAGCAATTTCAGCAAGCTAGCTCTGAATTCCATCACTCTGAATTCCATCTCTCCCGCCTTCTTTCCCCAATGTCTAGGCATCGTCTTTGGATACTCGGGACTGTACGACGTCCTGCTCTTTGAAGTCAAGGCCTTCAGCGAATATTGTGAGGATGGCAAGTCCCCATGCCCCGCGCAGCTTGACCGCCTCTCCAGAATGTACACCATCGGGGCAACCACGATCTCTGGCTGCGCGTTCGTTGTTGGTGAGGCCTCAGTCTAGTTGCTGCCATTGGCACAATTGATCACTGGTCCCCAAGACACAGGGCCAGCTTTGTGGTAAGTCTTGCTGCAAATTGTTGTTGGTGAGAACTCTATCAGAGTTTGCTATGGCAATGTTGATCTGGCAGCCACTGATTGTGGAGTGCGATCGAGGGTTTTGGTCAAACCAATGGACAATGCAGCTCGAAAAGTGGGGCCAGTTTAGAACCAGACTGTGCCTTCTGCCCTTCACAAAAGCATAGTCTCCTTTTCTCGAACATGAACGCGTTTGCCGAGACACCAGACCAGAGGGGTTAGAAGTTGACCTTCTCTGGATTCTGCTTGACCTAGGGAGGCTCAACGTTAATTGCTCAATCTTGATTTCTTCTCGACTGTGATAGGATGGGGAGTGTGCGTTCTTCTTTAGCAGGAATTTGTCAGCTTCTTACATTTCAGCAATGGCCTCCAACTCAATCGTCAAATCACAATGTATGACCGGATTGGGGCTAATAAAAGCATGATAATGAACCCAGCACTCCCGCAATCCAGGCCCTCAGTCTTCTGGCCTAGTGCATCTTGATGTGTCTTTTTCGTTCTTTGTTTCGACACGCCGCACCTGGGGACATTCCTGAATACTGTCAACGGATGCTTTGTGATTTATTATCGGTTACATTCGGATTTACAAAAGTCCATTTTAAACAATAACACTTGGGTTAAATTAAAGTCAACAAGGTTACAGGAATCCTCCCCCCCGTTACCTCTACAGGTCTGTTTCTAGACTACGCCGGACCCCGCATCACAGTCTGCCTGGGCTCCCTCCTCTTGGCGGGGGGGCTGCTCGCCGTCGCATTCGCCCAGGAGATTTCCAGCTCTTTCTACTACCTCGGCTTCTTCCTTATGTCGGTTGGAGGACCCTGCATCTTCAACAGCACCTACAGCTTCGGGGAGCTCTTCCCGAGCCAGTCAGCCGGGATCATTGGGGCCCTGTCGACAGGTAAGGTGTCCCTCTTTCATTCAATTGAGAATGTGTTTGAATCTACTCACAGTAGCATTTGCTGCTCATGAAAGCTTTGTAAGAGCGATTCAATCTCAGTTGTGTCACAGTTTCGAAGCCTTGCTTGAGACCTTTCCGCTGGGAACCTGGAAGATTGATTGCTCGTGTTTGGAGAAACGGTTGACAAGTGATCCTCGCTCCAAGAGAAGAACTTGTACTCCCTAGCGTCCTCTGACTGATGCCCCTCACTTCAAACAGTCACCTACTCATTCGCGCTTACCTTCGTCGAACGATCTGGCGTCTCTGGTGCAATGCTCAACCTGTTTCTTCCCATTCAGTCAAGGCTAACCAAACGAAGCGTCAGCAAAATCTTGAAGAGTCTTGTTAAACGTCTGCATTCCTGCCCGCGCAGGCTTCAACTCGTCCACGGTGGTCTTCTGCATCTTCGGGGCGGTCATCCACACCTTCGACGTCTCCCTCAAGTCCGTCTTCATAGCTTATACTGTCATGCCCGTCATCGTATTCATATCCAGCGTGCTCCTATTCCCGGATCAGCCCTTTGAGTCGAGCAGCAAGGACGACGGTGATCGCGCGCGGTTCAATGGTGAGCTGACATTGATGAGGAGAGGAGATTCGCTTTGTGTGTTTCTCATAGGACATCATGTAGAATATTGAGTCGACCTTGCCAAGATACTCTACCTCATTGAATTACAGTCCATTCGGATGCTTACTGCTCAGCGGCGAAGTAACGTCTGCTCACTTGGGGAACCATCTGGACTAAGTACGAGGGTGATTTACGCACTGCGCTGAATGAACTCTTAATGCTGGGGTTTTGCCAATTCTTTGCTTCAAACAGAGATGCCTTGATTTCAGAGGACTGACATAAACTTCAACTTTGCTTCTCCCCTTGTCCTTGATAAAGCATTCTCCGCTAAGTGCTGAAATCCTGGTACCCTTTCATCGTGACTCTCTCCCGCCGTTCATTAGGCAAGGTGTCTCTCGTTTTGGGAGCGCTGTACCAACGCGGCTATCTTTCTCCGCCGTCGCAGCGCGGACAACTTGCTTCGTGATTCCGTTTTCGGAAAGTGCATCAAATTTACTTTTCTCCAGTGGCTCAGAGGTTTGCTTTCTAAGTATGATTGACTTGGATCCACTCCAAATGAAAGCGGGTGGGGCTCATCATCGGGACGTGAAGCAAGCTACAAACCCCTGGTAAACCTTCCTTCGGTAAACACACAAAATTTGGTGGTTTCGTAAGCCCTAAAACCTGAAAGATAAGTCCGAAAAGCCCATACCCCTCTACTTCTTTCGACAGGCGAGCTACATCGTGTATGGACCATTACAATGACGGAGGGCAAGTACCCCGCCGACGTGGAGGGCCCCAACGGCCAGATCGCGGGCGCGGACTACGGGCGCCTCTCGCTCGACGAGGCCGGCCTCGAGGCGCCGTTGCTTGTCAAGGGCGCGCTCACGGGCGAACTGCCCCCAGAGGTACGCAAATGTGTGAGGTTGGGAGACGACGTGCCAGAACTGCTGTTTGCGTCAAACTTGGCACCCGAGCTCGGATCAAATCGCGCGGTCCTCGATCTCTAATCGCGAAGTCGGTCCTCGATCCTTGATAGACATCACGTTACATTTTGTTCGGCCGACCGAAGTCCCTGGTGATCGGCGGTTGACATCGACATCCGGAGTTCTTCCGGGGGCTTCCGGGGGACTAGCTTGGCGAACATCGAGAACCGACATCGCGACTCTTGATTGAGGAACGCGCAATCTGATCCGAGCTCGGGTGCCAAGTTTGACGCAAACAGCAGTCAGGATTGAAGAGGTAGAAAAGCCTGACTCTGGGCCGTCGGACTCGTGCTCCGCTTACACCTGCGAGTCAGGGCTCGTCCGAGATGCAAGGGTTTGAGAGCGATTGTGGTGTGGCACAATTCACGGCTATCATTCTTGAAGGATCATACATCGTAGCTGGTTGACATCTCGATTTGATTCTTGTCTGAGGCGCCTGCCTGTCTTGCCCAACAAGGCTTCTCTTCCGCGGTCGCATAGTCGTTCATCCAGACGGGAAGAATGAGTAGCTCGTGCTTGACAGATCTCGAGGCAAGTTCGCGGAGTCGGGTCATGACCACCCTTTGTGGCGGAAAGCCCTGAATAGAACGTACTTAGTAGAGTTCGGTCCGGCTGGATGCTTTTATGACTTCAAGACTGGCGAAGTCGTTCGCGGACAGAGCTTCCAGTCGAGTCTGCAAGTACTCTGCCAATTAGCCGGCCGTATAAGTTGGTCCATTCCCTGTCACATCAAACGAGGTCAGAGCACCTCACGGCTTTTCGACGGGGTCCGCCGTTCGCCACAACGAACCCCACCAAGGGCTTGGCGACTTATCGCCCGTCAGAACGAGCATCTTGTCGCCAACGTCGTCGACCTTTTGTTGCCGTTGCAACTCTCAGTTTCATGCAGGAACTCACTCTGCTGCCGCTGCACATCAAATCTCTGAATGCTCTCCTGAGAAGCAAAGATTTTACCGAGCACATTCTCCGGTTGTCAACCCTCGTTTCCACTCTCTGCAGCTCTCCTACTCCGGAGAAACTTCCGCTTCCGCCCCTCCCCGCAAGAAGCTCTTCCGGCGGCGCTCGTTCCGCTTCGACGACGGCCCGCCGGACATCTACAACAGCGCCTTCTCGAAGCAGATCAACTCGAGCGTTTATTGGAGCATGGCGCTCGTGACTGCCTACATCGTGTTGCGCGTGAACTACTACATCGAGACTTTGTATGAGCAGCTGTTATATACTGCGAGGTTGCAGTATCCCGGGGACATCGACGCAGCCAGGTGAGAAGTTCAGGGAAACGTCTTATTTCACGGGGTGGTGATTTGACGTACCAGGCGGTGGTTCGCAGGTGATCTAGATTTGACTCTATTGTCTTATGGCGAATGAAGGACCTTTGTTTGCGTTGCGGAGCCACTGGCTAATGGCAGCTTGTCGATTGCCTTTCGTTTTGAGCGCCTATTTTCCCAACGAGTGCTTCTTCTCTCAGTTGACCGCTTCTCAAACTGAGCGCAGACAGAGGCGCGAAGGCTATCCTTTCCCTTTCTGTATCGCTTAATCGCAAGCCGTCGCTGAACGTCGCCTAGCTCTTGAGAGTCGCGCTTCCGCAGCCTCAGATTCCTTATATTTGACAAGCCCATTTAAAGGATTACCCGCGAACCAAAAGTACTACTCTGCTTGTCACTGGGTGCAGGAAGGGTGCCAACGCTTCTTTTTGAGGCCGAGGCAACATCGTCCCTGCCCAAAGTCTTTTCATTCAATTTGTCCTCTGAACAGCCCTTTCGCGCACCTCCTCGTGCTCACTTTGCCCGCAACTCTTACTCCAGGGAGGCCGCCAGCTACTATACAACGGTGTTCAACTATCTGCTGCCCCCCGGGGGGCTTGCCATGATCCCGGTGGTGGGCTTTGTATTGGTCGAGTGGGGCTTCGCGCCCAGCTTCCTTATCATCGCAATCCTGCATATGCTCTTCTGCCTCGTCAACGCGTTTGACCGGCCGCCAATCCAGCTTCAGGTAAGGAACCGCGCAGTTCCGGAAATTTCGCTGCTTCAGGATTCTGGATGGAGTGCTTCAAGTCACCTGGGCGCCTTGTTGTGCATGGTCTTCACTTTCTGACCGTCAACCAAGAGATGGAAGAATCGTTTGGGGACTGCGCGCCTGACAGTCTCGAGGAACGGCTTGGCTGCTGTTTGGATGCTTATTGCGTGAACGAGGCCTTTGACAATTTTGACCGCATCTTTTTGCTCGAATCCAGTTATCGGAGCGATGTTTTAGGCAGGATCTCACAATTCTTACGGTCAAAGCTTGTTCGTCGTACTCTTCTCATCCCCCCAACGAGAGCAGCGGGACGTGCATGCTTTTCTACGAGAATTTTCACGGAAGTGACGAGAACGGAGCACTTCTGTTACAAGCATTCGACACACTCAGCATATCTTTCCATGTACTCGTTATCAACTGGTCCTTGTTGGTAGCCGCTCCGTGTGCTTGAAGTAATACATGGCACCAGGGCGTGACGTCGTGCGCATCAAGCCAGGAGAAAGGCTCACCGCATCCTTCCGTTTTGCAGGTGGTCGCTTTTGCCCTGTACGCGATGGTCCGACCCTTCCTCTTTGGCAGCATGGCCGCGTATATAGGCCGGCTGTTCGGGTTTAAAAACTTTGGTAAGCTATATGGCCTGATGCGGGTGATGGGCTCCCTCGCAGTGTCCCTGGAGTATCCGCTCCAGCTGCTATCTATCCACACTTTTGAAGGCCGCTACATTTACGTAAATATGGGCTTCATATTCATAGGCCTCTTGCTATTCGCTTATCCGGTCTTCTTGTGGAAGAAGGTGTTTTACGGAAACTTCTTGCGCCCGCCGCTTGTGAAGCTGCAAAGCATAGAAGAATAGACCGACAAGCGCGCTTATTATAATTATCATAGTAGATAAGCACCAAGCGGTAGCTTAACAGGGTATCTAGTACCTACGGTGTCCGGTAGCTAGGCACACGGTCAACCGCTATAGTGGGACGCCTGGGTGCTATTAGCGGCTTGACAACGCTTACGGCTATTACTTCGCAATTGCAGTGTCAGGCTCCATATAGGACCAGTTGAAGGTTTGATCTTGATCAGTTAAAGGGCGAGCTCAAGAGCCGCCCGTCTGTAATATTAGCGGCTGGGCATTAATACCGTAGATTGGTAAGAGCGAACTCACGATTTTAGGTTGACATTGATCACATGATCAACATCGACCCTCAGGCAAACTAGGATTCCAGAAGCTATTATTTTAAATATTGCTAAGTTGGAAGGGTCTATAGGCTCAGACTAGCCAGATATCAGAGTGTTGGCCCTCTTAAGCTGCGGCATGGTGTGGAAGTCGCTCATCCCGCGAGCCAATGGTCTTGCTGCTTTGAGCGCTTCAGCGAAGCAAAAAAGTTTGGGTCTGCCCGGCCGTGGTCCAGGCTAGACCAGGCCTCGCGCGTGCAGACGGTGTGGAGTATCGATCATGGAGATATGGTTCATGCCACGCTAGCCGCTCAGCCTGGCAGTGTAATTAATGAAGATCACTATCGCAGATTTTGGCGCTGAGTGATTTGGCGCAAACGTTGTATGTGGTCGTTCGTCAATTCTGCATCCGACGAAGCTGGCATGTGCTTGAAATCTGCGGGGCACGTGCCAAGAATTACTAACAAATTTGTGCAAGCTCATTGCGGTGGAATATGGATTCTCGCTGAGGCCGGCTCGATTTGTACGAGAGAACTGTTTTCAAAACACGAGCCCGGATCTATCTTGCATGTAGTGCAAGCTGGACTTGGCGATCTCGCTAAAGGATCTTAAGATCGCCAAGTCGATCTTACTACAACGTTTAGCGACTGGGATTGCATCCTTCAATGCATGCGGTCGAATATGGCTGCATGCATCGGGTTGCGTTTGTTGTATACGATCGACCAAGACAAGGACTTAATATCATTCCTAGAATTCGCTAAAAGGGAATTCGCGTCTATCAACATGCTTGACCGGGAATAGACGTAATTCCAGATTATATATGCTGCAACATAATGAGTCTTGTAAACGATCGTCAGGAGCTTTGACAGATATGACATACGGTCCATCCACGCCCAGTCAGGCCGGGCGCACGATTGCTTGTGTTTGCTGGTGTGCATGACCCAGGATCTGAGCAGAGGGGGCAACCACCTAGGCAAATAAAATGGCAATCGCAGCGAGCACAGATCTGGGGCTCCACCGCATATGCCAAAACCAAATTTGGTAGGCGTCTTATAGAGGTTATCCCCTACCTGAATCCAAAATTCGGCCGGTCATAAGCAGTGGAGCCCCTAATATGAAATTTTGATTGCAAGAAATTTGACACCTGTCACTTTTCCCAGCCATTCTGCTAAACTTCAAGCCCTTGTTTGCTGTATGCAATGTCCAAGAAAGTTGGCGGAAAACTCCTGAGATCATATTGGGGTCATAAGAAATTGATTTAGGCTTTTGGGCACCTGAGATATGCATCCAAACTCCACTTGGATTTTTGCTCGGGAGCCCTTTTAGCTAGGTGGTTGTCCCCTCTGAATCTGAGGTGGGATTCCTTGACATTACTGGTCCCTGTGGACAATCGAGGATGCAAGCATCTATTTCTCGAGGCCCTAAAGCTTGTCTTGAACTACTTAATCACAAATAATATTATGAAGAGTTACCTTATCTAAGGATGAGCCATCGGCCGCTGATCCCTCTGGCCTACCTACACCAATATATCCACTACCCCTCTACCCTTGTTCCTTGGGAATCCAGCACCAGTATTCAACCTATACTACACCATTATGCACTATTCCAACGTTTGCAGCTTTACAAGAGGAGGCCGGAAGAAGTTTCCATAGAAGATCTTCTTCCATAGAAAGACCGGATACAAGAACATCAGAACGCCTGTGCATAAGAAACCCATATTATGTACACGTATTGGCCGTTGAAGAAATGGACCGTCATCAACTGGAGGGGATATTCGAGGGACACGGCTACTGAGCCCACGACCCTCATCAACCCGTATAGCTTGCCGAAGTTCTTGAATCCGAACAGCCGGCCTATATATGCGGCCATGCTCCCAAAGAGAAAGGGCCGGAACACAGCGTACAACACAAATGCGAGCACCTGCGAAGGAGGTAAGACGTAAGTAATCAAAACACAACAGGGCTCGGAATTTACATTCTTTACGGAAGGGGTTCCCTCGAGACCAAAGTGATGAAGATTCAGTGACCTGCTGTAGCTCATGGCTGAGAGTAGACAACACTGCCTTTCTGCCACCCACCTCAAGGAAAGGCTGAGTCCAGATCAGTGGTGTGAGAAAGCCACGTCTCTGGGCTTCGAGTGAAAGATGGTGAGAGAAAATGCATGATGTCATCCCCACTTGTCAAAAAGGACACGGGAGCGGGGATTGATCAAACACTGGACATCTGACTCATCACCTCTGTATATGGTGTCAATCTCCGATCAAAGCCTTCCCTTGCTTGCTAGCAATCAGCACAAGGATAATCAAGACGCAATTCGTAACAACCGCAGGTCGAAGGTCGGGAGTCTACGGGCAGCTTATCAACTTTAGCATTCGCCAAGAGTGACGAACTAGTGAGACGGGAACTGCGCACCTGTAGTTGCAGCGGGGGCGACTCGTACGCGTCCACAATGCAGAAGAGCATATGCAGAATGGCGAGGATAAGGAAGCTGGGCGCGAAGCCCCACTCCACCAACACGAAGCCCACCACCGGGATCATAGCCAGACCCCCGGGGGGCAGCAAGTAGTTGAACAGCTTGGCGTAATAGCTGGCGGCCTCCCTGTGAGGAAGAAGGATTCAAGGAATGTTAAGGAGAGGCAAGCGATCTAGAATTGAGGCATCAAAGATAGCGACAAAAGTCGAGGAGGCGGCGTGTGCTAAAAGGCCTGATTGTGAGGAAGAAGAACTCAACGAGTGATGAGAAAGGCAAGTGCTTGAAGATTGAGGTATTAGAGAGAACAAGGTCAGGAAGTGGGTGTGCTAAATGGTGATTTGGACGTGGAAAGATCTGGGTATGGTTTCAAATTGGGGCGGGGCTGAAGGAGGGATACTGGGGCGGAGGACTGTCTACGAGAGGTTCGGATCGGGTGTACACTTGGTAAATTCCAGGGTTGTGACGAAGTCCGCAGTTCTCATGGGAGAAAAGAGTTTTAACGCCCGTCTAGCAGGTTGAGTGAGCCCATCGCAGTGGCAAGCTTCAAATGAATGGATTTGGAGAGACGCCCTCCCAAGAGATTTGGCAGCGTCATTCGCAATTGTCTCCAATAGAAAGCGGATTCTGGGCAACTAATTCAAATGACGTACTGCCATTCATAAGCTCCCACCGAAACCTTTTTGTTTCCACGCTTTCAGCTTGTTTCTTGTGAGAAGGGCCAGAGGGCGGCAAGCATAGCGTGTCAGAAGTCGACAGGCTGAGAACGAGGGAAATCTGGATATGCTCAGCGCTTTCAATCCACGAGCAAACGTGAGCGAAATGCCTGGCCCCTCACCTGGCCGCCAGGGGATCCCCCGGGAATTGCAGGCTCGCCGTGAAGAGCAGCTGCTCGAACAGCGTCTCAATGTAAAAGTTGACCCGCAGGACGAAGAACGCCGTCACGAGGGCCATGCTCCAAAACGCGCTCGACCAGATCTGCGTCGGAAAGGATACTTGAATCAGACGGAAGCGTTATGCTGAGGTCATCTGACGCCGTCTTGTGATGAACCGGCTGCGGATGAATCCAGTCTGATTGTCGTTTCGTCATAGCTGCGGTGGCGATGGGGAGAACAAGGGCGCTCGCAAGGGAGCAGGTCAAACGACAGAAAGCTTATGCTGCTGACTTCACCGTCTGAAAATAATCAGATTGTGTAGTGAATTGGCTTCAGCCCTCCAAACCTGATAGCTGAAACCACCGACAGCCACCAGTCTTCCTACCATGGATTTGTTCAGGGCTTCAAACAAAGACTTGCTCCGGCTTCGTCATGAAGTCGGCAATCGACAAGCAGCGGACCATCAGCACTCATGAATATGCGTATTCAACGGAGATGAGGTGGTCTACCTCTAGCGATTCCACTTCTTACCTGCGTGCCAAACGCGCTGTTGTAGATGTCGGGTGGGCCGTCGTCGAACAGCAGCGACCGCCTCCGGAACAGCCGCTTGCGCCCGGTGATCAAATCCGTTCCGGCGGAATTCCGGCGGCCACCAATGAACCCCAAACCAGGACCAGCGGACATCCGTCGTGTGCCGACGGAAAGCGCCGTTCCGTCGGACTCCGGCGGAACGAGGCCCGGTAGGAGGTGGTATGACATTTCCAGGGGGGAGCCGACCGACATCCCGGGTGTAACTAGGAGCGGCGCTTCGAGCCCTGGCTCGTCGAGCGCCAAGTTCGGATAGTCCGTCGGCAGGATCCGGATGTCCTTATTCTCGACGTCGGCAGGGTACTTGCCCTGGGTCATGGAGATCGTCCAGACGCGGTGGAGCTCCCCTGAGCGACCATAAGAAGCCTTCCATATTTCACGCGTTTTTGGGATTAAGAGACTTGAGGAGTATGCGGCTCAATCTCCCTGGTAGGTGGGCGGTGCAAATGGACTTGAACATAAGCGAAACATGCGACTAGCGGTGGCGTGTCGATTGCGCACGCAAGGGGAACGATACCTCGTGAGGAACGTAGAAGCAAAAACCCTGATTTTCCGGCATCTTCAGATTGTCCATCGCCGGCTCACTCAGGAACAATATAAGCGGGGACGCCACCGATATTCAGCAGCTTCCTGGCAGCTTACAAATGCGTCTCAAGGATCACTTTCACATTCATTCTTCTGAAAACCGCGCACCTTTGAAGCGGGCGTCGTCCTTGTTGCCCGTCTCGAACGGGCGGTCGGGGAAGAGAAGAAGGCTGGAGACGAAGATGAAGACGGGGAGGGCGGTGTAGGCCAGGAAGACCGACTTGAACGAGATGCCCCAGGAGTGAATCATCGCAGCGAAGATGCAGAAAACGACCGTCGACGAGTTACCTCCTGCGTGGATGCAGATTGTGAGTTCAGATTGTCAACTCCAGGAACTTTGACTTTCAATGTAGCAAAGTCAGCGCCTCTGGACACGGCATGAAACTGTTGAACTCACGCTGACGGAGTGACTAATCCGCTGCAGATATGGAGGTGACGACCGTCGACAGCATTTTTCTCCAGAGAAAGGGGTATGATGAAGTAGAGTTCAGTCATTGTTCCGGGTTTTAATCTGGCAGAAAGTACTTTGATGACGGAAGCAATTCTGCATCTTTCCGCTCGAGGAGCTCGAAGGAGCCGAAGGTCCAAGTCGGATTCTCCGACTAGCGTGTCCGCCTTAAAGTGGAGTCGAACAGGCAGTCGAACAGACAAATGCTTCTAGGCTAAAACGACTCTAGGGCAATAGTCTGGGCTGGAAGTTGGGACTACCGCGCTATTCAAGAGGACCGCCTTTACCAACAGGCTTAAGGGCAATCACAACCGACCCGTAGCTGCTCAGGAATGACAGCCGAATGTACGGGCGAATCCTGACGAGATCAAATTAAACATGAAGAAAAGACGAGACCGTCCTACGAACCTGTCGACAGCGCCCCAATGATTGCGGCCGAGTGGTCGGGAAACAGCTCCCCGAAGCTGAAGGTGCTGTTGAAGATGCAGGGCCCCCCGACCGCGAGCAGAAAGAAACCGAGGTAGTAGAAAGAGCTGGAGATCTCCTGGGCGTAAGCGACCGCCAGTAGGCCCCCCGCTAAGAGAAGTGAGCCCAGGCAAACTGTGATTCGGGGCCCGGCAAAGTCGAGAAACAGACCTGTAACGAAACGGAGGGTAAGCTGGCAAGAGCTTTGACAAAGAAGAAACGGCGTGGTGTCAAGCATAATCTGCGCCAGAGGGTGGAAGCACGATGTGTCGAGGATATGGTCGGTCACGAGTCAAGCACTTTCGATACAATCGAAAGAACGCAAAACAAGTTGCAAGCGTGCGCTTTGGTTTATGGTGGATGAGTACCTGGCCAGTATTGTTGTCATATCCAAACCCCTTGTCACACTTTGAACGTTTATCTGATTTTGTGCCACACTTGCCACACAGAGCAGGCAATTTGACCGCTGCAGCAAGAGTCTCGACCGTTTTTTCTCCGCTGCCAGCGCGAGTGCTCGAAAGGAGGGTTCAACGCTCCACACGACGAGCTAGAAGGCACACGAATTTGGAAAGCTCAAGAAAAAGTTCGAATTGAGAACAGAGTCCTTGGTCGGGTGCCTTTTCCTCCACGCGTCTTCCAAGATAAGGAGTTCGTGACTTTGCGTCTGAATCTTACCCACGAGAAAGGCACAACCCGATATTGTGGTAGCTCCCAGGGTGTACATGCGAGACAGGCGGTCCAGCTGTGCGGTGCACTGCTTCTCTCCATCCTCGCAGAACTCGCCAAACGCATTAACATCAAAGAGAAGGACGTCGTAGAGGCCAGAGTAACCGAATACAATTCCTGCAAAAGGGATGAAAACTGTCAAGTCGAAGAGGGGCTCAATGTGGACTAGCCAGCGAAGTCAGAATCTCTTTTGTCAAGGGTTTGTTGTAGTGCGACGGGCCAGTTGAAACCCTGCAATGTGAACTCTTGGATAGGCAAGAAACATGAACAGGTTGCCCCCACAGTCTGATATGATAAGCTCAGATATCCAAGTTTCTGGCTCAAGCCAACAACAGGCCTGTCGCAGATATCCGCGGAAAAGGTATATCTTGAACAGATTCCTTTCTGAAACGAAGTACTTGTGGCAGGGCAAAGGTTATTTGTCCACTTGATCTGATCAACCTCTAGATCAGAGAGCAGAAGCGACCTTTGTGAAAACTTTGCCGGATCTTTTGAAGTGCCTCTTTCAGACGGAGGTTGAGCCAGTTGACAGTCATGTTACTCACGAAACACCGAAAGCTATTGACGAGGATCAGCAAATTCGACCAAACCAAAAGCTTCGAAAGGCCGGCTGACCTGAAGCCGTGATGGAATAGATCAGCGCTAGTGTCACGAGCAAGATCCGGCGATACTCGCTTTCCCCTCCAGGGGCACGGTATAAACTTTGGAGGAGCCCCATACTTTGGGATGCAGATCCTTTTCTTCTAAAAGTGAGGGGGAAGCTGCAGTAGAGGGGGAAGCAGTAGGGGCAATTACACCAGGGGCTTGTTCCCACTGGCAACCCCGTCCCACTTGCTCCAAAAGGTGGTAATATTGTTTGGTGGTCAAGTTGCTATCTGCTCCTCAGCCGCTTGTTGACGCTGATTTGAGATTGCCAACGCAATCCCAATGCTTGATAAGGGCCGCAGAATTTCTGAGCCTGGTTCTGTTCAGGGCGAAGGATCTGAAAACTTGAAGGGCTACTGCTTTCATCATGAGTTGTTGACTACCTTCTGCTCCCTCAAAAGCTTCGTGCAAATGCTGTGAGTCACAAACTCTGTCCTTCCATTTTCCTTGCAGAATTGTAGATCTTACAAAAATAATTGAAGCTGACAAGCTGTTCCCAGGGGTCTCAGAGGAAATGCATGAACCCAGTCTATGCAGCGTTGAAATCCAATGTAGTCAGTTATTGCCTGAGGCAGTGGGAACACGATCTGTCAATGTTACATCAATGTGGAATTCGTTTTAAGTTCTATCTTTAATCAGATTTTGGTTTCCGTCATGACAGTCCTAGTGCCGCCATGGCGGAAGCCTCAGAGGGATCTAAAGAGGGACTCAAGGGGTTTGAGCTCAGCCTGATACACCACTAGCTCTGTTCTGACCTCCCCGCTGAAGTAGTTATACCATGAGAGCTCGGCGATATCGATGGTTTCGCGTCGAATGAGAGCTGATATCTCCCCGAGGGCGGAGCCCCGAGGGGGATATCAAGCTCGAGGTCGACAAGAAACCTTCGATATCGTCGAGCTTGAATGGTATAACTCGCTTATCGCTGAGTCTGGATATGGCATCGCCGTCGAACATGCTAAGAGATTCCTGATATATCCCTCCGCGGCGGGGTATATCAGTGATATCTCCCCGCCACGTGATTCGACTTCGAAACATTTCTGATGGCTCCCGGCAAAATGGCTGAGCGAAAAACCCGGACGGGCGATAATCAATGGTACCTACCTACCTGGTGTAAGGGAGAGGCGAAGGAGTACTGCGAATCCCTGCAAGGCCCAGGGCCATGGGGCCAAGGACTCCCAGGAGAAAAGTCTGCCTTGACGGAAGGGGGACGGAAGAATTGACGCAACTCGACTCCCCAGCTACAGCACAGTGGATCTAACCCGACCCCGCATAACCAGGGACTCCGAGCGCCCCTACCAGAGGCGAAAGCCAGAAAATAAACCCTGGTTACAAGCCAGGTCCCTCGACGGTCAAGCCCCCGGGGCCTCCAGGCAGTGGCCCTGGGTTTCAATGCAGTCCCGGGAAAATTCGGAGATGACTCGGTCACCAGGCACAGGCTTGGCGCGGGCTCACACATCCAGATTCCAGCCGGCCGGTAGAGCCAAATGCCAACTACCGAGCCGACAGAACCGGGGGGGCGCCGGCAGCTGGCCGGCCGAGACAAAAGTGCGTGGGAAACCGTCCCTGAGTCGGTGACTCCGACCGCCGTTTAAACTTACAAAATTACTGTAGAAGTAACTTTCTGGGATAGCCTATGAGCATCATGGTGCATGACCAGGCTCCTGTATTGATCAAGGGCTGTACATAGCATATTATGGAGCTCATACATTTGTACTTCGCTGGAGAGCTGAAAGTTCTGTTCAGCATTGAACAGGCCTGCTTCAATCGAGGCAGTCAAGGCCAGAAATGGCGGGGGAATGGCCAGCATAGTGATTTACTCGCAAGATTGCCGTCATGGAACTGCTGACGATTCTCGGTTTAGATTGCTTTTGTCCTAGAAATGAAAGACCAAGCGTTGGTATTGATGAGTTGGTTACGCTCCTTCCAGATCTTGGAGAAAAAAGCCAGCTCCAGCTCGGGTTGGTTGAGTTTGCATGGGCTGTCCCTGGTATCTGAAAGCTGAACCGTGTCAATGCTGTCAAGCTGAGGGACTCACTCTCCACAGTTACACCGCAACTTGCTTGACGGCGACAGCGGCAGAAACGACATCAGCGGGTTGTTTGCTGGCTAGCGCTTGCTTCATTTGTTAGCACAGGACTTATGGAGCAGCAATTGGATAGGAGAGTCGAAGTCCGCAGTGGACATCTTGTGGTGGGAGGCAAGATCGTCCTGCGCAATGTTGCCGCCAACGTGACCGTATCCCCAAGCCCTACCGGCGTGGGGGCATTCATAGGAGTGACTGCTCACCAAGCGGCCTCAGCTCATGAGTTTGATTTGGGAACATTAACGTGAGTGTAATGCACCTTACCTTGACATTGCCATCAATTGATCAACCAAACAGTTCTTGAATGATATAATATTAGAGTCTCATAGGAGCCATAGAGGCTCAAGCGGCGACAACCAACCTGACCAGGTTGCTGTCATCTGATGTCTCTGATGCAACGAGCTGACACCAGGGGGCTACATGCGCAAGACCTCCCTGCTGATCAACATTGCTGATGGGTCTCAGAAGTAGAAGAGCTTGCTGCCAGCTCACTCTAGCCTGATTTGGTTATCCACTTTGTTTAGACATGTTGCATAGGCTTTGTTGGGTAGGCTGAGTGGCTGCATGCTGGCCTGCAGGAAAGGGGAGTTTCAGATCAGTTCTTTGTTTGAACTGAATTCCCTTCCATCAACTTTCGGGCGCTTACGTCAGTCTCAACACTCAATCTCCTCTTGCGAATGGATGTTGACCACCCATGTTGTCTTGCAGGGCCACTCGTTTTCTTTCATCATTCCGCTTCAAGTTGTGGTGGCAACGTCAGCGGACCGCTGACAATGGATCAAGTGTTGCGCCCGAGACGCAGTTCCTTCTACTCGAACTGAAGGGCACCCACACAGCTGACAAGCCCACCTATGTAGTACTTTTTCCAATCATAGAAGGCCGCTTTCGGGCTTGCCTTCAAGGTGGCCCCAATGATCGGATCCAGATTGTTGTTGAATCAGGTAAGAAGGGACCCATCTTTTTGCAAAAGAGAGACGTCTGTCTTTCCAAGATTGGGCAAGTAACAGGCTGTCGGCGGGCACGCTGTTGATCAGCGGCTACGTTTGAGTCCTCATCTAAACGTGGCAGCAGCTATTCAATGCTTGACACGGCCTCTCTAAACTTGAAGCTGGTCGATGTGGTGCTTGACATGAAGTCAATGACGGGTCAACTTTGCTGTGATTGACTTGAAGGGAGTACATCTGTAAGCGAGTCCCAGTTCAAGGCCGTTGCTTACATTGGGAGCCATGCTGTGATTGATTTGAAGGGAGTACATCTGTAACCGAGTCCCACTTCAAGGCCGTTGCTTACATTGGCAGCCACGCTGAGGACCCGTACACTGCCATCAAGGAGGGCGTCGAGGAAGTTGCAAAGCATCTCAAAAGCTTCCAAACACGCACACAGAAAAAGGTAAGCTGAGATTGGAAGATTGCCACAGTCTTTGAGGCCTTGCAACAATGCCAACATAGAGTTTCTCCTGCAAGCTCAGACATGGACTGTTTGCTTCTGTTCTTAAATATAGCCAAACTTTCCTTGCTTGACGTCTGCTCTAATTTTCTTGCAAAGATTGAGAATATTCCTCAGAGAGAGGTGGCATTAGCCCATCGCAGAAACTGGTCATGTCCCTGGGAAGGAGTGCATCTTCAATAGATTGCAAGGGGTATTTTTTGCAAAAATAAGGGCCACAACCTGTTGGCGATCGGATTCTGCATCATCGACCTGAGAACCCACATGAGCCACACCTGCTCGAGGGACTTACCTCGTCACCTTCTTGCTTTGTGCAGATTCCAGGGATGCTATCATACTTCGGTTGGTGCACGTGGGGTGAGTGCTTCAGCACAAGCGCTTCAACAGGAAACCGCTAAGACGCAGTTCCACCTCTCTTTACCTTCTTCTCTAGCATCATGTCTCCAGACTACAAGGCTCGGGTGATGACCTTCTCGCTTCATTGCCTCCTAGTGAAAAGAGGCCGGACTTGTTCACTTTGAGCTGTGGCAAAATGCCCCAAGCTTGGAGATGCTCACAGCTATGTTGTGAAAGTGCTTCTGCTTCTAGCCCATTTTATACAAGATGATGGTATACTGACATCTCGAAACCAAATGCAGATGCTTTTTACACCAAGGTGCATGCTGCTGGTATCGAACAAGGGCTGAAGAGGTGAGTAGATGCCATCGTGACTGCAGAGAGCCTATACTACCGAGGGGACGGACATACCCTTGTCTGACGATGCTTTAGTCACAAGAGTTGGAACGCAGCGAGCATGCATATTTGCTGGTGCTGGAAGGGCTGCCTCTATAGGCCGGCTCCTTCGACTCTCACGTAGGATCACCCAATCTCCTTTTTAGGTTCTGCCAGGGGTTTGGACGGCGGGAATCTATCCACGTGCGCAGAGATTGTCCCAGAAACACTATCTCGGCTGATTACGGCCCTGCAGCAACATCTGCTGACTCCGTCTTCCCTTCTCCCTCTAAACAACGGTTCTCTGCTGCTTCCACTTCGACAATTGCCCTCTGTTGCAGCCTGCGTGAGGCTGGGGCGCCTCCGGGTTTCCTCATCATTGACGACGGCTGGCAGTCGGTGGCGGCTGACGGGGAGGATGGCTTGCAGCTCGACCCCCCCTTTACCATACAGTAAGGCAGCCTGCCCTGCATCACAAAGCTCACCCCCTGGTAGATTGACGCCTAGAATGTGCCATTTAAGCCCGTGCCGAAGAGTTGTGTTGACATGTCTATAAAAGTTGTCTTTTCGTTTGTCCGAAAGGCACCACCTTGTACTGCACCTTGTACTTGACGCCCACAAGGCCTGTGCCATTTGGGCGTCACTTACTCGCCCAAGACATAAAAGGTGCTCTTGATTGGCGCCAATCTGGTGGGCACCTTTTGGGCCACTGAAAAGCCCCATCTGCCGCGGGGATAAAGTTTCTGATGGGCCTGTACCTCGGTTGAGCACGCTGGCACAGCACCTGACAAGTGCACGAATGCTAGGCAGCGGTAGACCTTGAACGTCAACAAAGTATTTTGCTACTACGACCTACTTGCAGTGCCCTTGCGTTATCGGTCCAAGCATCTGTTGAGGTTACTAACGACCCATCCTTTTGTTCCTGTCGAGGAGGTCAAGCACCTGCACTGCTCCGAATTTGTTTGCCTGCTTCTTGCAGGGCAAGCATGCGGCTGGTCAGTGTGGAGGAGAACAGCAAGTTTCGGAAGGGGCAGGCGGGTAGCGCTGAGGAGGACGAACGCAGGCCCGAGAACCTGCGGGCGTTCATCCGCAAGCTAAAGGCGGAGCTGGGGGTGAAGAAAGTGCTCGTGTGGCATGCACTGGGGGGATATTGTGAGCAGCTAGACCTTCCTTACAGTCTAACGAAGACGGCCTGATGCAGTCACCACAATGTGTAACGAAGTCGCATCCAAGTGTTTTGCTCGAAGCGGAGGGGTTTGTCTTGATCACCAGTTTTGCAACTTGATAGGTTTGGCTCGAAGTGGAAGAATGCACGTCCTCTTATCCTTTGAGCGTTAGAAGTTGCACACCCCTGCCCCTCTCCTCAGCTCGACACGGTGTGCAAAGTCCTTTCAATCGCAGAAGCGTCGAACTCTGTAATGTCTCAAGTTGTCAATCTTTTTATCGTTCTCTCGCTCAGCTCGCTGCCCTCTCCCAGGCCCATTAACCTCGCACCCAAAATGTTGTTTTCGACGGTTGGTTCGATAGTTCCCACAAAGGCCGGGAAATTGGTACGTCGTCGACTTCGGTAGATTGCGCACCTTATGAGATGCAGACTGGCTTTGGGTGCGTGTTTAAGGTGCTCGAGTCTTCTTCCCCCCGTTTGCAGGGGGCGGCGTTCGCCCCGGCCTGTATGGATCCACGTTGCATACCCCGGTCGTGTCGGCGGGCGTGCGTGCGAATCAGCCGGACGCAGCGCCAAAGGACATTGAGGCGTTCGGGGCGGAAGTCATGGCGCCGGGCGGGGACAGAATTCTGTCGCACCACCCTATGGCCCACTATCACTCCGGAGCGCGCGCCGTGGGAGTCATGGCGCCCGACCAGGTGGCGGCTTTTTACACCGCACAATACGGGTATCTGGCGGGGGCAGGTATGTCTCTTCGTTTTACGTAAAATAAACTCTAGGTAAAGGAAGTTGCTGCTCTTACACTGAAAACCTAACCCTTGAAATCACCCGCTCCGCACCCGTACCCACCCTAAACCCCCAACCTATCCTCACCCGTCCCAGGCTGGTTAGCTTACTTTACCTAAAGCTTACTTTACCTAAATTGAAGTCTTGTGGGGCAGGTGTGGACGGTGTGAAGGTGGACGTGCAGTGCGCACTGGAGACGCTCGCGGAGCACTTCGGCGGCCGCGTCGCGCTGACCGCCGCGTACCAGACCGCGCTCGCGGCCTCGGTCGCGGCGCACTTCCCGGACAACGACGCCATCTCGTCCATGAGCCACGGCAACGACGCGCTGTACACATCGCGCACCGTCAACACCGCACGCGCCAGCGACGACTTCTGGCCGTGGGACCCGGCCAGCCACACCATCCACGTGGCAGCGTGCGCGTACGTCAGCGTGTTCATGGGCGACTTTACCACGCCCGACTGGGACATGTTCCAGTCGCGCCACCCCATGGCGCACTACCACGCCGCCGCGCGCGCCGTTGCGGGCTGCGCCGTCTATGTATCCGACCATCCAGGTAAGGCCAAGATCGTGACCTGAGGTCACCACCTTTCTCGGACCTTTAACCTCGCATCCAAGATGGTGTTTCTGACGGAGTGTTCGATACTCACCAAAAAGGCGGGGGGTATGGTATATCGTCGATTTCCGTATATTTCGCACTTCATGAGATGCAGACTCTCCGTGCAAGATCTTGGGTGCGAGTTTAAGGTGCCCGAGTTTGACCACCACCGCTGCATGCCGCTTCTGCTACTCACGTTCTTCTCTGTGTCAGGAGCCGCACAACGAGCCGGAAGGAACGGGGACCTTCTACTTAGTTTCCCAGGGGTTTCTTGATTTTTTTGACTTTGCTCAAACTCGTCCCGAAACTTGAGTCTTTGATCTGCCGAAAGCAGTCTCTCCTTCAACGCTGTTTGTCTCTTGGAATCAGAAATCCGTGAAGTCGAAGGTTGAATCTTCATCGCATCTTCGTTACATCTAAAGTAAGAGTATCGCCCCTAATCTCGAAGATTTGCTACTTTGGACGGGCAGCGCAAAAAGCTTATTCCGGACCTAACAAGTTCAGTCGGTAGGTTGACACACGGTGTCCGGAACAGGGTTCCTACAAGCCGAGATTGGAACTTGTGAAAATCCTGACCTGCTCGGTACACTGCTTTAATATGTCCGGAATAACATTTCTGCTCTTCCCGTCCGGAATTGCAAAATTCCGGAATCAGGGCCAATACTCTTACCTTTCCGTCCTGCAGGCGAGCACGACCCCGACGTTCTGCGCAAGCTGGTGCTGCCCGACGGTCGGGTGCTGCGCGCCCGCCTGCCTGGGCGCCCCACGGTGGATTGCCTGTTCGCCGACCCCTGCAGTGACCAGAAGACTCCGCTCAAGATTTGGAACATGAACGCTACCACAGCCGTCGTGGGGGCGTTCAACTGCCAGGTAAGGTGCTGCAATTGTGAGAGGATAGAACTCGGAAGGCAGTGTAATACACTGTATTCGATCCGTATTGCTTCCGGGAAAGCTGCTCCTCCCGAAAATCTGGTGGCCCTCGAAAGCAAGGTTGATCCTGCTGACCTACATCAGCGATGCATTGGTTTGCGCCGCGAGCCACACAGCTCCATCCCTCACTTTTCCATGCCTCTTGCTTTCTCCTGTGTCTGTTGCGGTGCGCCGCTGATCCTGGTCGGCGCTGCTGGCGCATCGGAACTTCTGTGCTTGATTAGTCGCATGCAAGTTGAGTTCTGCATGATAGATACCTAGATAATGCCGCAGTCCCACCGCGTCGCTCGCCGAGTTCTTCAAAGATGCATCAAACTATGGTGCAGGGTGCTGCATGGAGCGCCGTGGAGAAGGTGCAGGTGGTCCACGACTCAGCGCCAGGCCCCGTCAGCGGCACTGTAGGCGGTGCGGACATCCCCGGGTTAGCCCAGCTGGCAGGGCCCCATTGGACCGGAGACCTCGTCGTCTACAGCCTGCAGCATGCCACCGTGACCCGTGTATCAGCGGACAGCGGAGTACCCTTCGCTCTCCCCGCGAAAGAGTATGACGTCTTCACCCTCGCTCCCGTGCACGCTCTCCCCTGCGGCACACACGTTGCAGCGGTGGGTTTGGTTGACATGTACAACGGAGGGGGCGCCGTCCACAGCTTGGCGCTACGGGAACGGGCCGCCGTAGAAATCGACCTTGTCGGAGGGGGAAAGTTCGTAGTGTACGCTTCGGCGAAGCCACAGCGATGCACCTTGAATGGAGCGGTAACGCCGTTTACTTACGAGGGCACGGCGCAGATTATTGCGCTGACCATCCCCTTCCAGTCGGGGTCATCAAGCTTGAAGCTTGACTTTTAGGACATGGAAGCAAGCTCTGCGAAATGAGCAGATAGACAGTTGGCCGGGCCAGCGCTTTAGTATTTATGCAGGGTACTTGTCGATCAGTGCCAGGATACCGCGCACTACATAAAGAACTTCGAAAAGAAGTCAAGCTAAAGCTTAAGTTAAGTCGGCCAGCCTTGCGAATTGAGCAGATAGACAAGTGGCAGGGCTAGTGCTTTAGTACGTGTGCAGGGTACTTGTCAATCAGCGCCATGCAAGATACCGCGCGCTGTGACAAAAGATTTTCGTAAAGAAGTCGGACGGAAGCTTAAGTTAGGTCGAATTGCGTTCAAGCATTATTTTCAGTGCCGAAAACATTCTCATTCGTGAACCCATGCAACTCGATAAGCTTATCGAAGCCCACTTTGTCGTACTCGCCCCAGTAAATCAGTATATACCGTCAATATATGGCCACGGGGAAATTGGCGGGCTCTGATCGACATGAGCATGCAGCGCATGGATAAACCGTCGAGTACGTTCTGCACGTCATGTGCCTGGTGCCGGTTATCCGGGGTCGTATATTCTGCCGGCCAACTTGCGTACTCTCCTGTCCGAGAGCTGTTCACGAACAAATCAAATTTCGAGCTTAGGAAATTTCGAGCTTGCAGTACTCGCACAGATAGCACACGCAAAAGACAGAAGAATTAACCTTTATGTGCATGAGCATGGATACGTATGTCCGACAGCTCGCACAAGGGCAGCATTAATTTGCCATAGTGTGAAACTCTATCTGGAACAACACAATCCAACTCAACCGAGACCGATGAGCCGATTCTGGTCCGTCTCGATTAGAGTGAAGATGACGTAAGCTGTTCACAGCAGCCGAAACAGGCGGCTGTAGCCGAAGTGCACTGCACTCAGAGTGCCCATGTCAATGTCACAATGTCGGATCCTCTTTCTAAGTCAGCTTACACTTTCGTGTTCCCCTCGATCAAACAAAGGCTTTACGATGAAAGAGCTTGTCACAGATCTTCAGCCGCCTGAGTCTTCCCAACCGCCTCTCGGAACTTCTGAAACTCCGCTTCCACTGCAGGCACCACACGGACTGTGATAACGCAGTTATCGATGAGCTGAGGGCTAGATTATAATTGCAGATTCCCTCGAAATCCGCTATTGGATCGTGAATGAATCCTTTTTCGAAAGTTGTCACGTTTCTGCCCGAAGCAAGCTCCGAAGGAGTGGCGGTTGGCGTGTACAAGAGTGTTGTTGAAACAGACATGACGAGCGCTAGGACAAACAGCGGGCCGCAAAAGCTGGTCGCAAACCGGAAGTAAGCAATAAAACCCAAGCTTATCGACGCGCACTATTTGATCAAATGCACGACCTCTCCGCTCGGTTCTTCAGTGTGTCCCGGTTTTGGCGTCTTTTGCAGGCACTACGTGAACAGCTTGAAAGCTCCGCTGCCCTCCACCAACATCTGGCACAACGCCCTACAGAATTTTCCCTCTCTGCTCACCGGCGAGATGAGCGGCTCTGGCCTCCCGAGCCTTCTGAGACTCGGCCTCCATCAGCTTTTTGTACCGCCGGATGGCGTCCTCGAGCTGCCGCCGGTCCGAAGCGGGCAGCTCTGCAAGCGTCCGGACGGACACGTCATCACGTGACCAGACACCTTCTCAACAGACGTTGTTTGAAATGACCAGTGTCCGGACCAACAGCGCGAAAAAGCTAGCAACGGCGGCTCGGATATGCAAACTACCGAAGCAGCTGTTGGGGCTTCCTCATCCAGAAGGAACGCAGGCGATCGCTCGGGTCGGTCAAGAGTGAGGCGGTTCAGCACTAAGGGTTTCGTTCGCTGGTGCAGGTGAGGCACGGCCCCATCCAGGAAGCGACAACCAGTGGCATTTTGCCTCTGCAAGATGGCACCTCAGCAAAGCATCGAACGGGAGATCACGATTGCTGCCTTTGAAACCCACAGATTACCTCTACCGAGATTGCCTTCGTCGACTCTCACAGAAAGGCGTCACCCCAGGATCTTTCCGGGCGTACCTGCCGTTTGAGGTCGGCTAGTCGAAGGCGCCGGGGTGGGGCTCTCCGTCCGGACTGTTGCCGAGTCCCTCCAAAATTGCGTCTGAGATTGAGACAGCTTCGGTGCGGCGGGGGCCATCTTCTTCAGCTTCTCGTTCTCTTTTTCGTACGACGCCACCTGCTGCAACGCCATCCGGTGCTCCTCGTCGTGTTCCGCGGCTTGAGTTTGCGCGTTCTGCAGGCGATCCTGCAGAATCTGCGTGAGGGAGAAGAAGATGAGCCACCGTCCGGGAGACTCCAGTCCTATACTTGTGCCAGTCAGACTGTGCCCCTATTGAGCCGCTTTGGCAGTCGGAACGGATGGAGGACAATATGGCCTCCCGACAAATTTCCTGGGAACCCCGTTAGTTTTTACTAACTCCTCGGGTTGAAGGTTCGGAATGATTGAACCGATCACCACTGATCGTCAGTTCCGGATCATTTGAAGAAGAGCAGGTCGCTTGTATTGGCCCGAGAGCCCAAGCTCATCGTTCATAAGTTCAGCGAGAAACCAGAGGCGTTGCCTTTTTTCTGGGGAGGAATCCTCGAAGCGTCACAACTCCATTCCTCCCCTGCATCGAGGAAGTCAGTGACTGATTTCTCGTCAGGATCAAAGGTAATCTAAGTAGCACAGAATTTAGTTGTCATTTCTTGGATGACCAGAGGCCAGGTTTCTAGAGGCATGTTTGTCAAGCATGTCTGACTTGTTACTCAGATAGTATGCTAGTGAGAGAACAACTGCATCGACAGTTTATTGCAACTTTCTGTGACTGTGCAGGCCTAACAGTCGGCTTTGTCTGAATGCCGCGTCCACGGGTGTCGTCTTTCATCTCGGAGGAGCAATAGTCTGAAGCTGCGTGATGCTCCTCGAACCACCAAACCACATACGAATAGGGGCCAGTCAAAACTTGGGAAATTGACGTTCATTGATCTTGTTAGATTGTTACCTTCAGTTGGTGCTCCAGTTGGCAGACCAACGCATGTGTACGTTCGAGTTCGTCAGCCATGGTCAAGGCTTCTTGTCTCCAGTCTAGTTTAGGACCATCCGCTTTAGGTGCCAGCTCCTCCTCGACCTGCACTAAGACCGACAAATTCATCAGATGGAAACGCAAAGCAAAACCACCTTGCGCTTTTCGACGGAGAAGGGCAACATGACACCGGACACTCAGTTTGGAATGGGAATTGACGCCTTTTGGCATATAGCAGATAGGTAAGGAGGCACAAGTTTAGGGAGATCGAGCTTCCATCAAAGAAGGAAGGGACAAGCCATACTTACAACTGAGAAGACTAATCGGCTCTGCAAAGATGAGGCAGAGAAGGGGAGCGAGACTTAGGGTGCGACAGCCAGAGTAGTGGTTCAAAACTAAACAGCAGCAAAGCACCTTACAGAGCCGCAATCTGAAGGCCCTCAGGTACTCGTTTTCCCGAATCTCATTGGGTTGGAGTTTTCCGATGTCTGCCAAAGCTTGCACTCGTCCCTGCAGATAGGGTGGGAATGGATCAGGTTTCATTCTGAAAGAGTATTGACACACAATCTCTTAGCAACAGACACAGTGTTTACCAGTTCATAACCGCACTTGCTTCCCAAGGTACTCGAGCCCTTCACGCCGCAACTCGTAGTGTCAATTCTGTAAAGAACTCCCCAAACCTCTTAATTGGTGCTGACTGAACAGTAACCACCCTCTACCTGTGTTGGAACTAAGCAAAACGAAGCAGCTCAATCTCAGGCAGCTGGTATCAGTCATCGATGGAGACGTCCAGCCTTCGAGACAACGCGTTGGGCCTACTTACCAGGAGCTGTGCATGGAGGCGCTGAATGTGAGCCAGATCGGTAGGCTGGCCGGGTCTTGGCAGATCAGTCTCGAGGTTGCCAGTTGTTCTTGTCATACGTGAGCTGGAACGATTCAGGCTACGTTTGGACAAGGACTCCGTTAGGACCTGCAGTGGCACTCTAGCATATGTCAGAAAAGTAAGACACAGGGGAGATACAGGTGCAGGCAGTGCTTGTGTTTGGATGACATATGGAGCAAACTGTCCCTACATTGAGCTTTTGCATTGAAGGTTTATAAAGCCAACTTGTTGCAAGGTCAGAGGAAGCTCAATTCGACTCTGGTGAGTCATAGCTGACTTAGCAAGTTTTGTGATTTGCATCATGATGTGTATAGCAGGAGCACCAAGCAGTTCTCACACGCGTTCGACTGCGACGGTTCCTCAAATTGACGGCCAGCATACTTCAATTTGCTAGGAGCTGCTGGGTGTGAGCTCTGAACCAAAGTATAATACGAAGAAGAGCTGGAAGTTTGCAGTCTCACCAGCTTGCAATCAGGTCCCATGCTATTTCCTTCCGGTCCTGCTCGAAAGGTCACCTCCCTCTTGAGTGCAGAGTTGCTAGACGACTCCTGAAGAACCATCTTGTCAATTTTGCTCTTCCCCAATACAATTTACCTGACATGAAACCCACGGAGGGAGTATTCAGACTACAGCAGATTGATCAGGGCTCTTTTCGCTGTTACGAACGTTCTGTATACTAGCCAGTTGAGCTGACTGTTGTCCACTTATTGACCAGCAATCTGAACAATGTACAACAGCCTGCTGACTGTTGCAGAGGGACTCCAGCCCGACTCCAGGAAGCCAATGCCGTTGTGGGCAGCTCTATTCAAATCCCTGCCCCCTCCCTGCAAACCGAGGTGGCTGACTTTACAGATGTCTCAGCTTGATCCAACAACTCGATATCGCAAAACGTCTTCCATCACTAAGTTGCGCTCAGTTGATGAGGACGCCTGTTGAGCTTTCGCTGCTAGATACGGCACCTTTTAAGGAGCCATTGAGCCAAAAGCAGCAAAGGAGAGCTGCCGCCGCGAAGCTGGACGTCTCTGCTCAAGATTAGGGTTCCGCACTGCTCGAGTG